TAGTTCCATTTGGACAAATTTTACAGTCAGTGTTGTCCGCTGTGCTATGATATCCAGGTGGGCATGCTGTACAGTTGCGAGCCGCGCCAGACTTTGCACCAAGGATGCTTATGTTGGATACCTTCGCTTCAAATGCTGAAGAGAAAGTATCGTCTAGCTGGTAGAACGTCCATCTGTAACCAAAAGAAAGGCTATTAAACTTAAACATTTCGGTTTCAGTAGTATTAAAATCCAAAAATTATATACTTTTTTCGCCAGAAAAGTTATTAGCATTCTCCCGATCGCAAATATTGATCCAACTTCCAACATTTGATAACATGTTTCCGCCACTACGGCAAAACTCGTAGTAGAGTGAGTATGGCTATCACAATTTGCCGCCAAAATGAACGCTGGTTCACGCGTGCGCACTACTTAGTATTGAGAAAATCTCGTTCTCGAAATGTCCTCGTCTTAGAATAGAGGAGTTCACGCTCATAGCTGCATCATGGGTAATCAGGGCAAGATGGCGGGAAATGCAAAGATTTGTATTGGAATTCATAGCCAGCTAATTCTTCCTGAATTCATACAATTGTTGCTTTCTCTTTGAAAAGTCGATAGTATTCTTTGCACTCCAGATTTAGTGTATTGTTTCTTTGAACTCGTAAGCTACTCTTTTCAAAGAGAAAGCATCAAATATATGAATTTAGGAAGGATTAGCTGGCTTTGAATTCCAATACAAATCTTTGAATTTCCCGTCATCTTGCCCTGATTACCCATGATGCAACTATGAGCGTGAACTCCTCTGGAAAGGTCTCTACTGTTACCTGAACTGATACCTTCCCTTCTCCAGTGGATAAACATGCGTGACATAATTACCATCTCGTCGCTTCTCATGTTGATAAATAAACTTCCCTTTAGGACGAGTACAGTTTACTTGATCCTTCAGAGAACCATTCTTCCACACTTGAAGTATGAGATTGCAGTTCTCTATTTTAGCCAAAGTCTCGCCTTTCACGGGTTTAGATGGCACTCCGGTCAAATTGCACATGACTGAGCAGCTGAAGACGAGCTTTGCTAAATCTGAATCCACCTCTACTTCAGGAGACCTCAATTCAGAGTGCACATTACCCACAACACGTTCTGTGCGAATGTGATCCCCAGCTGGAATCCAACCAGTCTAGAAAAAAGGTATTTCAGATTATTAAGTCCGTTTTTCAGGGACAGCTACGTAAGGTAATCCAGATTCCGGAATTTATCTGGAAAGTATTTGATTGTGAAATCCCGAATCCTGGGCTTTGGAATCCGGAATCTAGCTCAAGGAATCCAGAATCCCGCTGATGATTGGAATTCGGAATCCAGGTTCCATTGACATGGAATCTAAAGTCCAATTTTCCACTGACAAGGCATCTGGAATCCAGCATCCAAGACTGCCATGGATAACCTTACATAGGAACCTAGACGGTAACCGGTCAAATCGCCCGAAAGTCACCTCGAAGTTAAATTGCTAGAAATTTTTAGTAAAGTAGCCCGAAAGTTTTGTAAGGAGTGTACGTAATATATCTCGTTCCGTAAGATAATGAGACAAAACAAGCAGGCCAATTGTGTAATCAAATCTCGTTCTTCAAGCAATGATGCTATGGTGAGACGAAATAAGTGGGATGAATGTGTATCATATCTCATTTTTTTTCAGCCTTGATGAAATGAAACAAGCAAATGAGTAATACATCTTGTTCTTGAAGATTTGATGAAACGAAACAAGGGCGATTAAGATGTTAGGATGTTGCTCAACATGATAAAATTTTATTCGACTTGACTGTAAACCGGACAGACTGTTCTGTCTCCTATTACCTAAAGAGGCTGAGTCCCGGAATTCAGCCAAATTTAGCCATTATGAGCCTGTCACCAGATCAAGTGCACTTGGGTCTTTTAAAAACAAGTCTACTCAACAGTTTTTCAAAACTTGTTATTTAGAACTTTCAGTAGGGACCTTACGACCCGACAACGGCGACGACCACAAAAACGCCGCGGAAAATAGACTTCGCATCCTTTGAAACTATTTCGCGATTAACCCAAGTCGCCCTATTACTTAAAAGAAGGGAATTTAGGTTGGAAGTGAAGGCATGGGACCGCGCACGAGTTCAGACAGAGATGGTAGAATTTATCGCCTTGCCGTTCCCCTTCTCAAGTAAACTTAAAATTTGACCATTTTTAGTTGTGCAGGCAAAGAAATTGACAAAAAAGCGTGATGCACGCGCAAAGTTGTTGCTTTGCTTTTCTGAGGTTCCGATGCCGATGCCGTCGCCGTCGTAGTTTTGTAAGGTCCCTAGTAAGAACGCTCAGGAGACATAACAGTTACCTATAACAGTCAAGTTCTTCCTCATTTTTCTGAGGAATAGTAGTTCGAGCAAAATAGGAGAATGCGTGAGAAATGGCCAGTCGCGAGGATGACACGTCGAGGGAGGACCTTCTTCGAGGGTGGCGGTTTTCACGCGCGTTCGTGCATCTGCTCGCTCTACTATCCCTAAGGAACTACTTGTAGTCCATTAACCCTTTAAGCCTCAATATCCAAATATAAACTCTCGATATTGATCTCCATACATTTCCTTCAAGAATTAAAAGAGAGAGTTTGATAACAAATCAAAGCATTTGCTCTTTAATGATCATTTTATTAACTCTCATAACTATTTCTCTTGGCAACATATGGATATTGTTAGGAGAAAATTGATGTTGGTCACAATTGAGGCTTAAAGGGTTAAGAGAGCACCTAGCTGTGTTTCTCCCCATCTTGAAAACAATCGTCAGAGTTTTTAAAGAACTTCTAAATATTTGACAAACCTCAATAGTACAGTCACCGGAACAAGAAGCAGAGAAGCCTTCTGGTAATGTGTCATTCCTCCACAAAAAATAGTGCTTGCCTGGCAAGGCTACATGGCCAGCTTTGCATGTAGCACATTTCACACCAGTAGAAAAATTTCCCTTTGAACACGGTTTGCACTGAATTTGTCCATCCTTGCCTTGAAAAATCTCAAATCCAGGTTGACAACGACATTGCATTGTCTTCGATGAAGGAGTTATCGTAGAATTTTTTTGTCGGTTGCAAAGAATCCTTGGTCCTTTTCCATCTATCAAATAATTCACGAGATTTTATTAATAAAGATCATTCTTCACTTGATTTCATTTCCGCAGTTCACATATATTTATTTCATATACATCTGTCACCTTTCATCTCTTTTAACAGAACATATTAAACATAGTTGACCTGCTCCCAACACCAGTGGCTTCATAGCTTAGTTGGTCAGAGCACCGCACCGGTATCGCGAGGTCACNAAATCCTTTTGTTTTGACCCCCAACATGGCCGCCTTGTCACGTGGTTGCAAACCAAGAATATACACTGCGTCCATATACATTATGTGGTCCTTGGTCTGCGTCTAAAAGTCATTAACTTAAATATCTTACCCGAATCTTCACGTAACGAGCTGAAATACTCCCTGAAGATAGCTTTTATGTTCTTCTCGATAATCCTGAAGTTTCAAGTTCCAGACATAAATATTTTGCTTGGAGTTCGAAAAAAGGCGACCGTTTTCGATGGTCCTTGGTCCGCGTCTCATGTAGGCAGCACGAAAAAAACGTAAAAATGTTATAGTTTCCACAGGAAAACGTCATTTTCACAAATTTCATGTATTTTTTTTCTTTTCTAGATGCAATTAAGCTAAAGTTTTTTTTCGGAAGACGTTGTGAGTATAAAATAATCTGCTCTTCTTTCAAAGACTTCAGACAATAGTCTCCTCGAGTCTCCCACACGAGCGTCGCGAGCGGCTTTCAGCGCGGTCGAAAATAATTACCAAAAACTCTGTATGTATTCGAGGTATTAAAAAAGAGAACTTGTAGACATGTATAGGGACGATTTTCAAAACATTCTTCGAAAACAAAGGACTTCGCTTTTTATTTTGCGAAGTTTTATTCAACCAGGTCATAGGTCGCGGACCAAGGACCGCCAAGCGAAATTTGGTGATATTTTTCAAGAGTCGATAAAACAAAAAATTCAGAGTCTACAGCAATATGCTTCCAACAGCAGAAAAAAGTTGATCTGAAAACCCGTTCTGCAAAAAGGCACGTCTTCCCGTTGCGTTTTATTTATTCGCAGGCTAAGTAAACATGTTCATGTAATTTACGGTGCCCCAAAAATCCAAACTTCAAGAAAGACACATTAACCTACCTGTCAACAACCTTTAATTTCGCGCCTTCACCCGCAGCAAGAAAGCCAAAACTTGGTCATATAAAAGAATGCTAATCAGTAAATCACAATATCTTTCAT